TCATTAATCAGATCAATAACTGGTTTAGGAACAGATGTAGCCTCCTGCTACAAGGATGTAGCAACTACTGGTTGAGAAATTGTCTTAATTTTGGCCACAGAGAATGCCCCGGGAACATACGACCTTTCTGAGGCAGGACTCAGTTTAACTTGTTTCTTTCAAGACTTTAAAAATCCGCCAAACTGTGATCCTTTAAGTTCAACTGAGAATGATGTAAAAAGTAAACATCTGACCTGTTAACAGCTGTAGATTTTTTTGTGAGGTCTTCTACAGTCAGATTAGAGATTCCTCCTTCAGCAAACAGACAGACAGGAAGGTGCTGGTTAATGAAGCTAATCTGAATAAATCCTGTGAGGTGCTCACAGGGTCTACAGGTGAGCTTTACCTGTGGGGCTGATGGGGGATGACTCATCAGAGCCTTTGCTCTCATACTGGCACTCAGAACTGATTCCTAAACTGGGAGACCAGATTGGAGACTTGAGGAGACGTTTACTCCTGGAACTTGTTTCCTGACCCGACACCTAAAAAATTTAAAAAGCAGCTTTTAAATTGAACCGTTTCACCGCTGGAGGAGACGCAGAGTCTTCAGGTCCCACCGTGCTGATCTGCATCCCTCTGTAGTCCAGGCAGCCTGTGGTCAGGAACGTGGACAAGGGACTCCCAGGCACAGAGTTCAAATCCCCGCAGAAAACCACCGGGCAGGTCGCGCCGTTGGGGAGGCGGGACAACCGGCCGACTTCAGCCAATAGGATCGCCAGCTGGGCCAGTTTGACGTCACCGCGGCGAGGGTTGTAGAGGAGGTGAGTGTTGGCGACGCAGACGAGCGAGGAGGAATCCGATTGGCCGACGAGGTGGTTGGGCTGCAGCAGCACAACCAGCCCCACGTTGTCCCGGTCCAGGAGGACATCACCGGGCCTGAAGAACTCGACAGGGGAGGAGGCGAGGAGGGAGAAGCGGGAAGCCTTGAAGATCACTGCACAACCGTCTGGTTTCTTTCCTGTCCGCTTCTTAAACTCACACTGATAACCTAACAAACACA